CTCAAAAGATCAACATACACCTTGACAAAAAAAAAAATCTGGTTCAAAGACCTCAAAAAGACAATGTCGGACTGGGTTTAATGCACTGTCACCCGAGAGGTGACACACGCGCTGGCGCTGCATATGCGGGGCACTGGGACGCATGCATGTACCCACGCGGATACCAGCTACAAGGTCAAAGTTTGGCCGTACACACTGGCCTGGGGAGTTTGGCGTTCGGTGATGGCGGCGGCAGCTCTCGTGCGAGTCAACGATCGGCCACTGCAGTTGGTCTCACGTCTCTCAGCACGGGCGTGCGGGCTCGGCCACCACTTCGCGTGGCTACACCCAGTCAAGTTCAGCACTCGGTTCAAATCACATACCAACAATTTCAATTTCTGGGTTTCACAATTCTTAGATACTCAACTGGGAGGAAGGGTTTGACAACAACAATTTCCCAAAAGGGATCGAACATTGACATCACTGCCAGGAAAAATCCTAACTCAGCGGTCAACGTCGAACAACAGCATGGTTAGCTCGTTTGACTCTTCCGACTAACAATGTCGGCCGTCACGATAGCTATCACTCCGGCAGCTAACCGTGCCGGTAGTCCTAAACGAGTCTAATCCGCATACATAGCCTATAGCTTTCACACTTCGAGGTCTAGCGTAAAGCTTCTCTCGCAAGTGTTTCCAGCTAACATTATACTACTAATCAGATTAAGTCACATAGGGCACATATACATGAAAATTGATGAAAGCTAATTTTTGAAATTCACAACTCCATTTGGAAACCTAAACATGAATTGCACCAATTTTCATCATGCGTGATGAATTTAAAATGCATGTAACTTCTAGTCTAGATATTGTATCATGATGAAATTACTTGAAAAATATCCTTAGCTCAGGCCTCTATCATTTTCATGAATAACACTCAGGCAGATAAAATCATTAAAATGCACATAAGCATGCATATCAAAGGTAACACTTATTTTCGAAAACAACTCATACGATATAACTGAACCACCTAGTCTTAGATGAATATAAATCCTAGGACATACGGCTATAATTTTCATTTAAATCACAGAAGCA